GGCTTGTAACTGGGAGTGGGTGGTACGTCTACCACAAGATATAATGAAATGGGAGCGGGTGGTTTGCCTACCACAAGATATAATGAAATGGAGTGGGTGGTACGCCTACCACAAGATATAAATTAATGGGAGCGGGTGGTATGCCTACCATGAGATAAATGAAATGGGAACGGGTGGCACGCCTTCCACGAGAAAATGAAATGGGAGCGGGTGGCACATCTACCAAGAGATACATGAAACGGGATCGGGTTGCACGCCTGCAACAAGATGTGAAAAAAAAAGTGAAATCTGCCTTTGTTTTCCTTATTCTTGTTAGTGGTTGGATTTTGATTCCCTTGTAATTCTCTTGATATTCTGTTTTTACTTGTTATTCTCCCGAAGCATGTTTTCTCCCCTCCCATCTTTACTTGTTTATTCATGTTTTACTTTCCGTTGTATATTATATAACTCAACAGGTTTACTTGGTAGTCTGGTCCTAGACTCATCACTACTTCGCCGAGGTTAGGCTAGGCACTTACCAGCATATGGGGTCGGTTGTGCTGATGCTACACTCTGCACTCTGTGCAGATATCGGAGCAACATTGGATCAGTAGCTTGGGAGCCAGCCTTCAGTCCACAGAGATTCCGAGGTAGTCCTGCAGGCGTCCGTAGGCCCGGCGTCTCTTCTATCTATTATCATGTTCTGTTATCACTTGTATCCGAGACAAACTGTGTTTCTTTCCTTCAGACAATTGTATGTTGTCACACCTCCTTTTTGCACACCCCTCAAGGGGTATAAGGGAGTTTTTCCAATTTAAGTGACAATCGAAACGGGATTATTTATAAAAATCAGAGTCGCCACTTGGAATAATTTATGGTGTTCCAAGTCACCGATTAAAATCCTGAATCGAGGAAATTGACTCTAATTACGGTCTACGAACACAGAAATTCGAGTAAGGAATTCTATTAACACAGGAGAAGGTGTTAGGCACTCTCGAGTTCCGTGGTTTTAGCACGGTCGCTTTGATCATACATGGCTTAATCAGATTGTTTAATTACTCATTTTAGAACCTATGTGTATTAGCCGCTTCTAATTAGGAAATTATCTTGAAACGGGTCACGCGTACGTGTACCCATTTGTTTGGCACGTCAAAAATCATGTCATGCGAACGTGTCCACAATTAATAACACTTTATTATTGTTAAGAAAGTTTGGCCGAAATTGCGCGAACGCATACTCCGATTTTGTTTTTAGAATCGTAATTATGTCATGCGAACGTGCACACTATCACAATAATTTGATTAACTAAGAGTATGCCAAAATTTTCATAGCAAGATATTTGATAATCACGATATTTTGCTAATTATTACATCAGCCAAATAAAGAAAGCATTTCACACATGAAAATCGGACACTATTCTGTCTCAGCTAACATACATATACTCTGCATCTATTATTTATTTCCTTTAGACAAATTCATTGTACAATTTGATTCATCCTAAGTTTTCCTCCAATTTTGAGACTCTCCGCTAGTCATGTAAGCAGAACTGGTAACGACCCAAAAGAGCACAAAATATTGATCCGCATATCACAATCAAACTGCAGAATGACCACCAAAATTAATTACCCAGCGGTATCCGTGAAAGCTCACTATAAAATATCAAGAATGAAACAGTGTGCATCACTTGGCATTTTTGCGGACAAACACCAAAAATCGGTTATATTAGGTTGAAGGAACTAAAGGTTTAAAGCAACAAATCAAATACTCATGTTCAACAGAGAGTGACAAACTCATAACATTTAACAAAACCATGCGTTTAAGTGCGGAATGAAACTGAAAATATTGAGATAAGATAAAATGAACGTTTGCAATTACTTGACTGCTTCTTTCAAAATTCAAACAAGGATGAACCTCTGACCGGAGCCGGGACTGTTAAACGGAAAATCATCGACAACAACGACAATACCTCGACTTGCAGCTGAACGGAGACTCGGACAGCAACTTCCGACGACTCGAAGCTCACCGGAAAAACTTGAACCAAATAAAAACGACGAAGATGAACTCCAACTGATTTTGAATTTATTTTTAGCTATTTTTGAGTTGGATTTTGGACTGAAACTGTAGTATTTTGAAGGTGGTTTGGCTGGGTATGCGTCAATGGAGCAGAGATGGCAGGTTCGCCGATGGGGGAAGGTCTTTAGTTCTCTGCCGCTACTTTTGTATTGAAGAGAGGGTCTGTTTTTATGTGGAGATGGGATCGTTTATTGTAAGGGAAACGGGTGGAGAAGAAGGTGAAGAAGAGGGGTTTTCGATGGGTGTTCAGCGGCTGAAGAAGATGACTAACGGGGGGGTGGGGTTTTCCTTTAAAAGCTGCGCCCCAAATTTCTTCTCCCCCTTTTAGATTTTTTAAGCATTAATTTATAGGTAGAGTCTAGGTTTAGGTGTATCTTTGTGTATTTTGCCCATTAGTCCCTAGATCTTTTGTGTTAAGTCCTTAGGGTCTTCTTTGTTTGTCTTTTATTCCAAAGAAGAGTCTAGAAGGGTCCCTAGGCTTAATGAATTAATCCGAATTGGGCTAAGAATTGGGTTCTAAAACTCTTAAAATTATGATCCAACACCTTAATTGACTCATTTTAAAGTAAGATAAAAATACTACCCCATGCCAGAGGCTAACATGAGACTATTATATATATATTTTTGTATTTTCAAAATTATATAAAGATAAAAATAAGTATTATTTTTGTATATTTTTATTTAAATTTATGAAAGATACGTAAGCTAAAAATATATTTTTTTGTAATTTTCCATTTTTATGACGAAAATAAAGTAAAGAAGTTAAAAATAGTTGAAATAGCTATATTAAGCCTAAATTAAATATTTACATGCTAAAACACAAAAAATCTTGGTGATGGTCAAAAATCACATGTCTACAGCTGCCCTCTTTGATTGGAAAGACGAAGTATTTTCAGACAAAGAACGACTAGACATGTTTTTTGAGCCGACCCTTATTTACAGGGACCAAAAACTAAGAGAACTGAGACTATGACCGAGCCCTGGTCTTTGAGCTGCCTACATATCCTTGGCTATAAAGGAATCAAGCCACGTGTAGTTCAGAAGTGAGTGAGATGATAGAGTATGCCGAGGTGGAGAGCCGGTCGAGGTGTCGTCGAGGGTCCGATCCGCGGTCCCATTATTACATCAAAATCAAAACATGAAAAAGACTAGCTAATCCTGTCAACTACGAGTTACAAGATTCCTATCTATAAGTCTTCTGAAGCTTGATCTTGAGTCTTGAATGGTTCTTCATGCAGACTTTGGATTTGAACCTTGATGCTTGCTAGTTGCAGGTGCTAGCTAGTTCTTCTTCAGCTTTTCGGATCAAAACCGAGCATGCAGTGCTTGCGACCTCGGCCATGTCTTGAGCAGTCCACGTCTTTCATCAACTTATGTATTTGGATTAACTTCTTGCCTTTCTTTTTCTGGATTGTGACTAACTTCCGTTGATCATCTTGGACTGTTGACTCGCATTCTTGCCGCGAGCTTCTTTTGTTGCTGACTTGAATTGCATTCTGAAGTGGATTCCCTTTTTTCCAGGTAGGTGCCTGATTGCCTAAACTTGAACTAACTTCCTTTGAAACATGAACTATTTTCCCTTGAAACTTGAATTGTCTTCCTTCGAAACTGCTTTTCCTTGAAACTTGAACTGTTTTCCCTTGTTTTCCAGGTGGGCGCCTGATTGCTGAACTTGACTTGTCTTCTCTTATTACCTGACACTTTTTCCCCTTGCACCTTGAACCATTCTCCCCTGAAACTTGAACTGTCTTCCTTCGAAACTACTTTCCCTTGAAACTCGAGTTGTCTTCCTTCAACACTGCTTTCCCTAGAAACTTGAGTTGTCTTCCCTTGTTCTCCAGGTGGGCACCTGATTACAACAAAACAGACAAAACAAAAGAAATTTTTTCTGCCCCAGTTTGCACTAGGAAGATTTGTGAGTTGTTAGCAAAATTGTAAACCACTTGTACTATTGATGCAATGATGAGAGTAAACGAAATAATAGATAAGGAAAACTATAAACTAAGCTTGACTAAAGTAAAGACTGACCCTATTCCCTAATCGGGGTCCCCTGATTTCAAGAAAACTAAACATTGATATTCTTAAGAAAACTAAAAAATTGACCCATTTTCCAAATCCAAACTTCCTCTTTTTCTTCTTTTTTTTTTCAAAATTTCCTAGGAGAAAATTCGTCAGACAAGGTTTTCTATCTTAGGAGAAAGATTCATCAGACTAAGACATTTATCCTAGGAGAAAATTCATCAGACTAGGTCTTCTATCTTAGGAGAAAGATTCATCAGACTAAGATTTTGATCCTAGGAGAAAGTTCATCAGACTAGGTTTCCTATCTTAGGAGAAAAATACATCAGACTAAGATTGTGATCGTAGGAGAAAATTCATCAGACTAGGTCCCTTTTTGTTATCTTAGGAGAAAGATTCATCAGACTAGGTCCCTTTTTGTTATCTTAGGAGAAAGATTCGTCAGACTAAAATTTCTATTTATTATCTTAGGAGAAAGATTCATCCGACTAAGATTTCATCCTAGGAGAAAGATTCATCAGACTAGGTATCTCAGGAGAAAAGTTCATCAGACTAAGATTTTATTGGGAGGAAAATTCATCAGACTAGGACTTTTTATCCTAGGAGGCAAAATGTGACGACCAAATGACAAAATTTTATGCACATGAGCAAGATAGAAAAAGGAAAAAATTTGAGAAACTTCCCTTTGTCGGCTCTTCTCTTCTTTTCATTTTCATTTTTCTTTTTTTTTTCTTTTTTCTTAATCACTTTCCTTGCACTGCTTTGTTCCTGTTTCACACAAAGAAAAATTGGTCAGTTTTGAAAATGGTGGTGGTTTGTGGCCTTGAGTCTTGATCAGCTTGGCTTTTGCTCGATCAGTTTGAGTCGGTCTCAAGAGACTTTTGCTCTGCAGAAACCCTAATTGTTTCACATCCGGTACCATTGTATTTCTGGCTCAATCAGCATTATCCCAACTGGAGATCTTTTCTTAGATGATCTTTTCTGATATCTTGAATGACTTCTTGCTTTTGAGGAATTTGTCTGTCAGAGTGAATCACCAATTATCTTTGCTTGTGCCAAGTAAGCTGACAAGAGTCTTGGAGGGGGGGAGCTTTTGCATGAATCCTCAAGGCATGTTAATTGTAACAACTGAGTGTGCTGGCTAAATTTACTTTGTGCAACTGAAAAGCTGGTAGCAGATTTTGAATTCTTTTTTTGCTTATTTTGACAAGGACTGACTCAGAGTGAAGGACAGAATGGTGCAAAGAAACAAATATTAATAAGAAATGCCCCTACCGGAAGGACAGAAGGAAGAGTTCTCTTTTTCCCCCCTTTTTTCAATAACTAGCTTTAATGATCATGACATGCATTTTGGACTTAACGGTCGATCTACCAAACTAATCCAATCTTCCCTTTCACCATTCTTATGATCTTTGAAGTCAGGCCTATCCGTGCCAATCCTTTGCATCAGCTTCATGACTCAATTTCGACTAATGGTGCCCCAAGGGGTTTTTACCAACAAGTCTCTCTCATTTATTCATCTCTGCTTACCGTCGTCTTACAGTGCCCGTGAGGGTTTTCACTAATAAGACTCTCTCATTTTTCTTTTTCTTTTTCTTTCCCTCTTTTGTGAGCAACTCGACGATGTTCTACGTCGTGTGACAACTGTTGCTCATTGCATGCGTCTCTTGGCATTTTTGAAGGCATATTGGGAGGTCTTTATTTGGAGGGTTTTTGGATAGGGTTGGAAAGAAAGGTCAGCGTGAAGGCTCAAAATAAACTCAAAATGAGTGGTTGTAGACTTACAACTCTTGAAATCGACTCTTTCAAAAATGAAATAAAATCTTTGCCCCAGTTTCAGATGCTGGAGATTTTTGGATTTTTCTATTTTTTTATTTTTCTTCTGAATTCTTATTTTGTTGGACCGAACAGTGAGGCTGCCTACATATCCTTTTTTTTAAGGAATCAGGTCGAACGTAGTTCAAACATCTGACCTAAACTATTTTTCATCTTTCTTTCTGTTTCTCTTTTCCTTTTTTCTTCTTTTTTTTCTCTTTTCTTTTTTCTTTTTTTTCTTTTTGTTTGCCCCAGCTTCTATTTTTTTAGGGCATGGACCTTTGATAATTCCTTTATTTCTCTGAACGTTCTAAGAATTGCCCCAGTTTGTACTCTTGGGACATGAATTTTTTTTTTGACTCTAAATTTGATTCCAAAAAAGGGTAGTCAAAGAAAAATAACTCAGACTCAAAAGGGGTAGCAATGGATATAAAATGTTTGGGTAGCAGAAAAAGGGTCTCCCAACCTCAAGAACGTCAAACATGGTATCTTTTCACGATCACAACATTGACGAACATGTCTGTCTTCTTGGTGTGCCGTGGTCACAAGACATTTTTTCATCCCTTAGCGACAAACTTTCCAACAAACATCAATTGATTAAACATCCTCAAGCCCGATCTTCCCAATGATTTGAAGGTGAATTTTACTCGACCTTAATTCCAAAGTATTTCAACTCTTTATTATCCTCGAAACTATCTTTTTCTCAGTTGTCCAATTCAAGCTTAAACAATTTTCTAAGATCTAGCCAAAAATTCCGCATGCATGTCATGTCATTAAAACTAGCGGGAAAAGAACTAAACATGGAATGACACAAAAGGAAAAACTGTATTTCATTGAGTAAACAACAAGACAAACAACCTAAAATTCGAGTTACAACCCTAAATAACCCGGCTAATGAAAATAGCAAAAGAACAGAAAGACAAGACTCACACAAACGAAATGGAGGGATAGAAGGGCTTGACTCAATAAAACAAATAAAATCTGGATTACAACCCTGAAATAACCTAGATAATAGAAAAAACATCAAATTAGTTTACAATTGCTAAGCTTGACATTTAGCCACAATTTTCTCATCAGGATCAGCAGAGCCTTCTCCAATTTCAAAATCATAAACTTCAGTTAGCAAATTCCCGAAAGTATTCTCATACTTCATGTCACCACGCATCATCCCCACAAAGTGTGCATCATCATGTGCAGGTAAAGGATTCTGCACGATATTCTGGGCGCCACTGTCTTGGATCACAATCAATTTTTCCTGGATCATCCTTTCTATTTCTCTTTTCAAATCCCGACAGCTTTCAATATTGTGCCCCTGGGAATTGGAATGGGATTCACACCTTTTAAAAGGGTCAAAAATTCTTGCACGTGGGTCCACATGATTTGGAGGAATAGGTGCAATCATGTCATAATGCTTTAATTTCTCAAACAAGTTTGCATAGGACTCTCCTATTGGTGTAAAATTATCTTTCAACTT